TCTTAGAAATCGTAGCTCCGCTATCTTTGTTTTTTTTCCAATCAAATTTTGGTATGTTAAAAGTAAAAGGCTTCTGGATATATAAAAAAAAAATCTTCATTCTCCAAATTTTCCCAGATTTCTAGGAAAAAAATCAAAAATCAGTCCATAGTTTGTATTGTAAAAATATCAGTTAGTGTCTCTTTGGAATTAAAAAATTCGGAACTCCGCTGCTATCTTTGTTTTTTTTTCTCGATCAAATTTAAGTATATTAAAGGTAAAATGCTTACTGGTATTTAAAAAAGAATCATTTTTCAAAGTTTCCCGAATTTCCAGAAAAAAAATTAAAAATTCAGGCCATAGACTCTAAGGCAAAAATATCACTCAGTCTGTCTTTTAGATTACAAATATTGTAACTTCGCTATCCTTACTTTTTTCCAATCAAATTTTAGTATGTTAAAGCTCAAAAGCTTCTGAATATTTCAAAAAATGCTTCATTTTCCAAAGTTTCCCAGATTTCCTGGACAGTGACACACCCAGGAGGGACCCATCGGGCTAGGGCCCCCTCCCAGGCCGCCCCTCCAAAACTGTATTCTTACGTATAAAAAAATGTGGCAAATTTTTGGCGTGGCACCCTGTCATTTCATTTTTTTTTTTTAGACATAAGCCACAGCCTATAGCTGGGTTCGGCTATTCAGCGCATAGTTGGAGTGGAGTGAACAGAGCTAATGGAGTCACCCCCAATACGGTAAAAAGCAATACCCGAACGGTTGGAGTGCAAATGGCGTCACTCCGAGTGCACGGAGTGAGCAAGCCGAACCCACCTTATGTAGGGCCCCCCCCCCCAAACATATTTTCTGGGTGCGCCACTGGTGGACGTAAAAAAAAAACAATCACAGAAAAATTAAAATCAATTTTCGACTTAATGTAAATGTAAATATCAAAATGTATAAATAACTCTTCTTTTCGGTATTATGTCATGTGCTGTTAACTGTATTGATCTGGGTCGATTTAATACTGATATTGTTAGAATGTTTGTTAGGTATATTAATAATTTAATACTGTATGATTTTGGTATGATCCAGTTCTAAGTGTGGGCACTTTGGTAATACCTTTCCTTTTTGTGTCAATGTTCAACACTTCAATTATCAAACTTCACATTCATCTTTCATTGTAAACCAACCTTCTTGAACTTAGTTTTTTTGCGTTTGCCAGCTGCAATTTAAACGATTTTCTACGACGATATATTTTTCTACAGGCGCGTCGAACGATATGTATTGAAATTTGAATTTTATACAAATCTGTTCTTTTTTGCTAACTGTACAGGGTGCTGCAATTTGGAGTGTTTTAACAGGAAAAACACACTTCCCGACCAGATAGAGGAAAATTGACAAAGATGTCATGGGATCGATTTTCGAGAAACGTCGATTGTCAAAAACCGTATCGCGATATCTTCAATGGTACCATTAATACAGGGCGATTTTCGATTTTCCCCTATTATGAAAAATGGCTATAAGTTTTTTATTTATCAATTTTTTTTTTTCTGTAAAAACATTATGGAGACACTTTTTTTAGCACAATCCAGTGGCGGCCTCGGTTTTTTTCTATATCGCTCCGATTCCGAGATATTGACCAAATTCCGATATTTTCAAATGAAACATCCTTTATATTAATAGCTCATTGGATAGCTCTGTTTTTGCTGATTTCAATGATATAAAGTTCGATAGGTTTATCTCTAAAAGTTTTCCAGAAAAAAAATTATATCTGTTTCAGTCATAAGAAACAATGTGTTAGAAAGAGACCTTTCTCACTTTCCTTACACATATAAAATCCTTTTCTAACACATTGGTCCTTACGACAAAAACAGAAATAATTTTTTTTCTCGAAAACTATTAGAGATAAACCTATCGAACTTTATATTATTAAAATCAGCAAAAACAGAGCTATCCAATGAGCTATTAATATATAGGGTGCTTCATTTGAAAATATCGGAATTTGGTCAATATCTCGGAATCGGAGCGATATAAAAAAAAACCGAGTCCGCCACTGGATTGTGCTCAAAAAAGTGTCTCCATAATGTTTTTACAGAAATAAAAAAAATTGATAAATAAAAAACTTATAGCCATTTTTCATAATAGGGGAAAATCGAAAATCGCCCTGTATTAATGGTACCATTGAAGATATCGCGATACGGTTTTTGACAATCGACGTTTCTCGAAAATCGATCCCATGACATCTTTGTCAATTTTCCTCTATCTGGTCGGGAAGTGTGTTTTTCCTGTTAAAACACTCCAAATTGCAGCACCCTGTACAAAGTTGGGTGTTTGGACAGCAGCCTCCAGCCGTCTTTCGACATCTGAAAAAAAAAAAAAAGATTTTGATTAAAAGGTTCGTTGAATTCCTTGATTTTTAAACAGCAGCTTCTATTCTCAAATTTACAATTGAAAGTCATCATAACTATGTTTATTGATGACCTAAAACAGTATTACCTGGATTTTCCATGGCAAGAGGTTTGCTTTAAAACAGCTGATCCCACTATTTGCTGTAATGAAATAACACAAGTAATCTTATCTGGAATGGACGCATATATCCCACATACAACTAAACGTACAGCTAATGCAAAACCTTGGTTCAACAGCCAGTGTCAAACGGCTGTACAGAAAAAACACAGAGCATATAACCTTTGGAAACGACAACAAACCGCTCAAAACCACACAGAATTTATAGAAGCCAGAAATAGTTGCAAAATTACTATTGACTCCGCTAAAGAAACATATAATCAAAGAATAAAAAACAGGTTGCTGAATTGTCCAAGAAGTTCTAGGTCTTTTTGGTCTCTTGCAAAAGCTGTTGGATCTAACTTCACCAAGTCATCCATACCACCACTTACAGATAAAAATAATCACTTAGCCACAACATCAGAAGAAAAAGCCAATATGCTTGCCCAAATGTTTTCCTCCAACTCCAACCTAACAGTGCCAAACGGAAAAACTCCACCGTTCATTGAAAGGGTTTCCCATAGTATGCCAGAGGTACCCTTTTGTCACAGAGAAATACGAAAATCCCTAAAAAAGCTGGATACAAACAAAGCAATGGGTCCGGATGGCATTCCCGCAATAGTACTCAAAAATTGCGCCAACGAACTCACCCCAACTTTCGCAAAATTATTTAATTTGTCTTACAGGCAAGGAGTATATCCATCATCATGAAAGTCTGCCGCAGTACAACCCATTCCAAAGAAAGGAAAAAAGACAGATCCGTTAAACTATAGACCAATTGCTCTACTTCCGGTGATATCAAAAGTAATGGAAAGAGTTGTGAACAATCACCTAACCAAGTACTTGGAAAAGTACAAAATTATCAACGATAAGCAATACGGATTTCGAAAATATAGGTCAACTGGCGATTTACTTACATACGTCACTCACTTATGGCAAAAAGCGATTGAGTTGCGGGGTGAAACAAGAACAATTGCCTTAGATATATCTAAAGCATTCGACAAAGTTTGGCATGAAAATCTGCTCAACAAGCTCAAAGCAATGGGATTATCGCCAAAACTTTGCACTTGGTTTGAAAGTTACCTAAAGGACAGATCCATTTATGTTGCACTGGATGGCCAGAACTCCAACTCTTACCAAATAAATGCTGGTGTGCCACAGGGAGCAATCCTTTCGCCAACTCTTTTCCTGATTTACATAAATGACCTCATAGATAAAACAGTAAATCCACTTTATTGCTTTGCAGACGATGGCAATGTAGTCTCCTCACTCATACCACCCACAGGTCTTTCCGCACGTGAATTCCATCATCATAGACTAACTCAAATATCGCAGATAAATAACGACCTGGAGATAATAGAGGACTGGGGTAACAAAAACCTTGTACAGTTCAACGCGCAGAAAACTCAAGCAGCTCTGTTTTCAAAAAAGACCAGCACCGGTGAGCCAAACATCATGCTATCTGGAAGTGCTGTCACATTACAGAGTCAGTTGAACATCTTGGGGGTTACTGTAGAGACCAACATGTCTTGGCACAGTCACGTGGCAGATATTGCTAAAAGGGCCTCCCAAAAGCTGGGGGTGCTATTTCGTACAAGACATCTGTACACACCAAGCCAATTGCTGACACTCTACAAAGCCCAGATTCGACCAACTATGGAGTACTGCTCACATATATGGAGTGCAGCACCCAAACATACCTTAATGCTTTTGAATACCGTGCAAAAACGAGCTATCAAGCTGATCAATGACCCTGCACTTACTCGTAACTTGGATGGTCTCGAACATCGCAGATCTGTGGGCGATTTATCTCTCTTCTACAGGTACTATCACGGAAAATGCTCTGAAGAGTTGGCACGTATGATTCCACCGAGAGTAGCACCTACCAGGCGAACCCGTCAAACAGACGGTAACCATGAATTTACTGTCAAACTAGAGGCACCAAGAACCTCATTATATCAGAATTCATATCTCTGGAGAACAGCATCGCTGTGGAATAAACTCCCTGCGACGGTTTTCCCTGCAGGTTACAACCTGAACCGTTTCAAGACCAACATACACCGACATTTCCGCGCACTTGCCGCTTCTCGAGCGTGATAGGACATTTCTTTGCGAGTGCGCATATCCGTAAAAAAAAAAAAAAAAAAAAAAATAGTGATAAGGATCATGACCTTTCCTTGTTTAGATCATCACCTTATACTTATACTTATTATGGGAATTTGGATTAAGGTACTTATTTGTTAATAATTTTAATTTCCTAGCTCAGTGCAGTCTAGACAGCAAAGTGCTTATTTTGCGGACTAGGCAGGAAAAATGCTGACTAATAGAAAAATGACTAGAAAATAGTGTTTATTCGGTTTTGTCATGAAAGTTTTTTTGGTTGGACGATAACTATTTCTAAGTAAAACCTGTAACCCCTGTTGTAGATGGACAACCATTTATACGAGAAAACCTTGGAGATAATTTATTCTTTCTTTCAAGCATTCAAAATGGGAAAATTAATTTATTTGCGAATTTACTCACCGATTCAACAAAATATTATGCGAAACCAATACTGATCCTTCATTTTTGGTGTCAACCAAGTCCTTCAATTTATAAACTTCCATTTTGGGATCGCCACAAATAAAACTACCACAATGATCGAATCCCAATTTTGTTGTGTCAATTATATTTACACCAAACACTAAATTTAAAATAATTATTACTAAAACGACAAAAACAATAATGCGGTGAATCATGTTTTTGCCTACTCTATAATGCAATTTTTTTTCCGAATGCAATAGGGGGTCCAGCAGGAGCATACCAAGCCGAATCTTAATAATCGGAACAACATTTTCACTATGAACTAGGAAACGAAATCTGCTATGATAACCTATTGGTCTCGGTTTGTTTAGCACAAAAAAAAAATATCTCTGTCCACCGGGATTACACCAATTTAAGTAGGTAATGATATTTATTTTTCTTGTTGATAAGAAAAATTAACTGGTTTTATTTAGTTTGACCACACGTGTGGGTATCGCTTTAGGAAAGTTTCACTGTAATGATGTACCAATGTGATTGAAAAAAATATATACAGGGTGTCCCCGTTCAACTGGTCAAAAATGCTAGGGTAAATAGAGGAACCATAGAAGTTTAAGATGGGACAACGATGGTCGGAAGTGCATCGTTGCCAAAATACAGGGTGTTGAAATTTAAACAACCCTCTCTGAAGGGCTAATGCAAGGCTGTTCAAATTTCCAGGAATTATTGATTTATTCAATAAATAGGTAATACATATAACTGTTACTGTAAATGCCCGAAATTCGGTAAAACCTTGGATAAGCGCGCTAAACCTAGGATTTGCCAAAAGCAAGTGGTAAAAGCCCGAAAACTAGGTATTTTGCTTTCATTTCGGACTTTTACCGGACACAAACAGTAAATCTTAGGATTTACCACACCGCATTGGTAAAAGTACGAATACCACTGATACGTTAAAGAAATCGATATCGTGAAACGATAATCGTTAAGAAAATTAAGAAAATTTCTTGTGTCCTGGAGATTTTCCATCTCAGGAAATTAGCGTAAGAAGTGCAGTGCGAAAATTGTCGTTATGTAGTTGCCAATGATTTAAGAAATGCAATTATATTCGAAAATGTTCCACCAAAAGATGTTTATTTTGATCCTCTAAATACTCTGCAATTCTAAATGCCATGGAAGTTTGCCCTGTACCAATAAATAATATATTTCTATTAGTGGACATTTTAATCCATTTATTTCATTTAAAAAATGGTTTTGACATTTAAGTACCTATAGTTTTTCGAAAGTCAATTGGAACAAGGTGAACATAACTCATAACTGGTGGCTGACTAAAGGCAGTGCATTTCTTATGGAAATATCCAGTCACCAGTCAGCTACCAGTTGGTATCTTGTTTCAACTGAGTTTGAAAATACTATACCTACTTTTTGCAATATTAGGTTTGTTCGGACATATATGAACAAATGCGCAAGCGCAGTTCAATTCAGAACTAATTCTGAACCAAGTCCAAACAAACCTATTATTAGTACTTGAATTTTTTTTTTTTTTTTTATATCTCGTTTAAGGCCACTATGATTTCTGTTTTCATTTAAGAATATTAAAACAAAAAGTGTTTCGGTGTGATTTTTTGTTTCATTTATAAAGTATCTTATTTTTACACATTGAAATTTTAACGATTATCGTTTCACGATATCGATTTCTGTAACGTATCAGTGGTATTCGTACTTTTACCAATGCGTTATGGTGAATCCTAAGATTTACTGTTTGTGACCGGTAAAAGTCCGAAATGGAAGTAAAATAACTAGTTTTCGGGCTTTTACCACTTGCTTCTGGTAAATCCTAGGTTTAGCGCGCTTATCCTAGGTTTTACCGAATTTCGGACATTTACAGTAACATAACCATTAAATTACAGGTTGAAATTGTAATGAAACAGACTTTGGTTTAATTAAATCACTTCATCCCAATCAAACGAAATAACATCCTTAATTTTACTCGAGCAGTTTATAAAATATTTTGTCATTTAATTTTGTATATTGTGGGTGGATGATATATTAACCCTGCGTTGGTAATGTGGGGTACTATATACCCCAGCTGAGTTTACGCGCCTGTAACTTCAAATATAGTGATATTACGAGAGCCATCTTTGGAGTATCTTCCAGGAAAACATTCCTCCGTAACATGCGTTTATTCCGAGGCTCTTCTAGTCGCGTTTGTACTTTTCACGGGGCTAGTAAAGTGCCCACCTTACCATATTTGATATAATTTTCCACCTTACCAACGCAGGGTTAAGTTAGGTATTCAAACTTATCCATGTAAATAAATCATACAAATTAGACTACTGAAGAAAAGTTATTTTATTATCATTTTTCAACTATTTTCCATATGAACCAGCATGACTGTTAGCGTTAGCAGATGCTCCGCTGAAAGCGTTACCACCGCCTCCGTAATAGTTTCCTGCATTAGCTTGGCTGCTAGCAGATGATCCGGCGAAAGCATTAGAATTACCGAATCCAGACCCTCCTCCGAAGGAATTCGATTGGGAAAAGGCGTTAGCTGCGCTCCTGAAAGTAATAATTAATCTAAGCAAAAGTGGTATGAAAATGTGAACTTGTTGAAGGGGTAAGAAGGATATTGAGCTGTAGATCAATCAATAATCGACCAACCTACAATTATTATTTGTATACCTATAGTATATATGTGTATTTTTCCGTGTATTTATTCATGTAGTTCAAGCTGCCAACATTATTTTGTTTTTCATAATGCTGATTTAGGTTACGTTTGAAGTTTTTCGGTTGTCACCCTAAAAAACATGAATAAATACACGGAAAAATACACAGATGTAATACGGGCATAACTGTAAAAAGAAGCATGATGATGGATCAATTTGTGGCAGGCCTAAAAAAATCTGGCAGAGAAAAATGAATTAATACATAAGGAAAAGGTTTGGAAGAGGATAGGAATGAGGCGTTCGGGAATGGGACGACCTAATAGTTTTACTTACCCTGATTGTGCAAAGCCACCTCCACCTTGACAACATGGAGCTGTAAAAAAAAAATTCATTTAAGAAAAAATACTCTTTTATCAAGTATTAAGTTATTCTACTTATAATTTGAGGAAGTTTTAAGTTCATTGCTTTTCTAACTAGGGAATACCTAAGCATATTTCAAAATATCTGTAGATTGTGATCATGAAATAGTAATATAGGTAGGTAGGTATATAACGAAATTATTTAAATTTTTTTTAATCGTCTCACTTTCATCGTTGTGAATAAAGTTTGGGACTCTTTAATTCACATCAAATGTGATTAAAGGGTTTACTTCTTCAGTTATTATTTCTGAAATACTCCTAAATATTTGATTTCGTTTAAATTATTCGCAACTTTACGAGAAAACATCCTCAAATATAAAAGTTAAGATTCTTACCTGCCAAAGTAGCACACAACACACACAAAAGAATCAAAAGTTGACCAAAGACCTTCATGTTTCTAATCTTTGTTTCAAAATTTGAATACACTTAACTTTCGCTGATATTTTGCTTATATATTTTCAAAATGCAATTAAATAGAAATCTAGAAAAATTACCGCTTAATTGGGTTTTAAGCAATTGGGGAAATTGAAATGACGCGAAATGCTTTATTGTAATTATGGTAATGTAAGGCCCGGTCTGGTATTAACTATATATCAATAGCCATCAAGTAGGTAAATTAATATGTATTTCAGAATAGTGAGCAAAATCTCAAAATAAATGACAGCATTTAGTTTATTTAGAGTTTTTAAGGCTATGTGGCTCAATGTCTCTATAAGCAAGATGGCTGCATCTATAGAGCAAAATCAACAATGGGGAGACTGCCATCCATATCAATGGTATGATTTTTTTTTTCCCGAAACTTAAACTACCCTGAGAATGACTGGGACAATTGTTGAATAATGCAATTTGGATTTTTTTGAATGGTCCAATTAACTAAGGCAAACCAACTACTGGGTCGCAACAATTATGGGTGGAAATTCTGGCTTACCGACTATGGAGCAATAGATGCAAACACCTGTGAAAATCCAGAACCAGTAGGTACTTCAATCGAAAAAAAATTACCACCAAAAGCTATGTTTGAATAAAAGGGTCTTCAAGAAAATCAATCAAGGGAAAGGAATCCATGGTACCAGTACTGAAACAAGCTACCCTCTGTGCGGTAGACGGAAAAAAAAGCTGCGTAATGGAGATAAAATCATTCTAACAGGTAGAAGAGTGCTCCATATTTTTGGTAAATTTTCAGCAAATTGAAAATAATTATAAATCATTGGAAAGAGCATTAAATTGTCTATAAATCCGTGTAAAATTGAGTCCGATAGCTCGAATAGTTTTTGAGCAATTCAGTCTCAAATTTGACTTTTGGTTGAAATTTTGTAAAAAACTTCAAACTCAATTTGCTCAAAAACTATAAATCTGGAAATATTGTAAATTACAGGCCATTTAGAACTTAATAAAATCTACAAATTCTGGAAATTTTATTGCAATTTGCTCAACGGTTACCGAGCAATTGAGGTTTGAATATTTTGAAATCAGAATTCAAAGGGGGTAGGTACCCATATGAAAATTTCGATTTTTTTATATTTCAGTTTTGCTCAATTTTGACTTTATGAATCGATAGAGCTGGTCAAAATTAGTGGAAAACAACCCTGATATCAATTCCAAATTGCCATTTTAAGCAGATACAAAAATAAAAAGAAAATCCTATTTTTGGCTCTGGAAAATTTTCAAAATCCTGACATGGTCATGAACAATTGCCCATATTTTTAGTAAATTTTCAGCAAATTGAAAATAATTATAAATCATTGGAAAGAGCATTAAATTCTCTATAAATCTGTGCAAAATTGAGTCCGATAGCTCGAATAGTTTTTGAGCAATTGAGCCTCAAAGTTGACTTCTAGTCCAAATTTTGTCAAAAACTTCAAACTCAATTTGTTCAGAAACTATAAATCTGGAAATATTGTAAATTACAGATCATTTAAAACTTGATAAAAGCTACAAATTCTGGAAGTTTTAATGCAATTTGCTCAACGGTTACCGAGCAATGGAGGTTTGAATATTTTAAAATCAGAATTTAAAGGGGGGTAGGTACCCTTATGAAAAATTCGATTTTTTTATTTTTCAATTTTGCTTAATTTCGACTTTATGAATCGATAGAGCGGGTCAAAATTAGTGGAAAACAACCCTGATATCAATTCCAAATGGCCTATTTAAGCAGACATAAAAATAAAAAGAAAATCCTATTTTTGGCTCTGGAAAATTTTCAAAATCCTGACATGGTCATGAACAATTGCCCATATCTTTGGTAAATTTTGAGCAAATTGAAATAAATTATACATCATTGGCAAGAGCCTTAAATTTTCTATAAATATGTGGAAAATTGAGCTTGATAGTTCGGATAGTTTTTGAGAAGTTGCCTTTCAGTCCAAATTTTGTCAAAAACTTCAAATTCAATTTACTCAAAAACTATAAATCTGGGAATATTGTAAATCACAAGCCACTTAGAACTTAATAATAGCTATAAATGCTGGAAGTTTTAATGCAATTTGCTCAACGGTACTCCCGCATGGTTAATAACGATGTTTCTTTGAAAAAAAAACAATACAATTTTTAAATCAAATTAAATTTTTATTAATAGCTATACATTGAAATTGTACATGTTGATTTATTGTGCTCTAACTTCCCCGTTAGTCTTACGTTCGATCCATTTATCGTAAGCAGCAACCTTGGCGTATACAGAAGGAGCATTTAGATTACCGCACGGTACCAAACCCCAGGAAACGATACCGACAACTTTACCGTGTTGAGCCAGTGGGCCACCAGAGTCGCCGTTGCAAGCTGATTCACCTCCGTTTCTGATGCCAGAGCAAATGTTTAGTTCCACGCTGAACGGGCTATTTCTAATGTAAGAACTCAATATGTCTCCACATTCAACACTGTTTACAATTGGTACGTCGACGTATTGGAGGTTGTTTGGACTGGAACCGCCTGAACGAGTTAAACCCCAGCCTGAGAGAAGACTGTCTCCCTGAGCGTGGTGGTGGTTACGAGGGATTGCAATTGGTTGTACATTAATGCTGTAGGACAATGGTCTGCTCAAGAGGATTATTGCAACATCGTTGGCAGATACTTGGTTGCCACCTGGGTATAGTTCGTGGATGATGATTTGATCTATGGACCTGGTTTGTTGACCAGCAACATTTGCGTCGTTCAGCAATAAGATACCTGCTACGACTTGCAGATTGCTGGGAGCGGTTCCACTCACGCAGTGAGCAGCAGTGAGGATATGGCTAAAATTATAATGAAACATTTTATTTGTTACCCTCTTCTGGAGCTTATTGATTCATTAAAAAAAAAAAACAGGTTGTCCTTACCGTTTTCCTATTATAGAACCTCCGCAGATGTGGCTGAATCTTACCAAACCACGTCTTTGTAAAGAGATTTGGTAAGGAAATTGATTCCTTCTCGCATTCTGGCCATTGACAACCCTTAAGCCGGAGTTGGTATCGATGGTGACCGGTTCGGTTGGGTAGTAGGAAGCCTCATATGTGCCAGAATCAGCTATTTAAAATACAGTATTTATAATTTTTTTCTGACAAAAACATTTTTACTTACCCAAAGCGACTGCTACTAAAGCACACAAAGCCAAAACAATCTTCATGATTATTGCTCAGTGGAGAACTGTGCCTCGAAGTGGTTTTGGATTCAACTATATACCCCTTTGTTATCTAGATCTTAAACCATCAATTTCTTGCCGAAAAATTCTTAATCTTCGTCTGACAAGCGTTTCATCAATTATGGTATTAATCCAAATAATCTTGTGTCATAATTATTATTATAATAATTATGTGAATAAAAAAAAATATATGTGCGTTTTACTTTACCAGGATGCACATTGAAAATCTGTGTGTAATATTCAACTTACATAGATGGAAGACTATGTGACTAGTACTTCTTCACGTAGTAGATAATAAATTTTGGTCGGTTATTAAGGTACCTAAACTCATTCTCAAGGAAAATTGAGTTTGGAATTCATATTGCGAAGGTCATGGAGTGCGGATTCAATTCCATTCTCTATTGATTTCCACAATACTCAATGGTGATTGGTATTTTGAAAAATGTATCAATTATATTGTGACATTTCGGCAGATTTACAAAACTCCTTTGCGATGCCGATATAAATCTTTCAATTTATTTATTTATTTTTTCATGATTTATAAAGGATGAAACTTTAATATCATAATCTTCATTCAGTCATTATTTTAAAAAAACAAATTTCGTCAGAGACTAAGTCGATTGATTATCCAAGATAACGCATGAATGGGAAAATTATGCATAGATGCGAATGCGAACAAAATTCTAAGTGCGTAATAATGACTTTACTATACGAATTATGTAGGTACTATACTTTACCTACCCACATCACCACAACTAGAGGAGGACCACACCTTTGATGTGAAGTCTAGTGATTCCATTTTGCATTTTCATTTTTAGCCGTTTTCTATCCTTAGGATATAGGCCTCTTTCAAATTTGACCATTGTCTTCGGTTTTGCGCAGCTCGTAACCAATTTAAGCCTGCAACCTTCTTTATCTCGTCGTACCATTTTTGTTGGGGTCTTCCAACACTTCTCCTCTCTTCCCAAGGTGTCCATCTAGTGATATAACCGCTCCAGTTGTATGTCTGGCCACGTGACCTGCCCATTACCATTTAGGGGAACCATATTATGTCGGAGATTTTGGTTCTTTCCCTTATCCATGTATTTGTTTTGTGGTCTCTCAGTGAAATTCCTAAAATTCGTCTTTCAATGGCTCTCTGATGTACTTCCAATTTGTGTTTAATTTTTCTGGTTATCATCCAGGTCTCGCAACCATACGTGACAACAGGCAGATTTTAAAGTCACTGGGATATTCATGCTGAAGATGTACTTTAATTTGCCGTAAGCTGCCCATCGCAGTCTAATTCTATCAATTTCCATTTCTTGATTTTGTTTGCCCGCTGTTATAGCTTGGCCAAGGTAAGTATATGTATGTTTCTGTCTTTTCTATTGTGCTATCATGAATCGGTATTGTTCCGTCTGCATCTGGTGTATTTGTAATACACTGGGTCTTTGTGTAGTTCATGTGTAATCCTACTTTTGCCGCCTCATCCTGTAGTTCTTTCAACATATCTATCAATTTCTGTTTGTCTTTTGTGAATAGTACAATATCGTCGGCAAATCTTAGATTGTACAGGCGTTCACCATGTATGTTCAATCCTTTGTTTTCGCATTGTAGCTTTTTAAAAATATCCTCGAGCACTAAAGTGAATAGTTTTGGAGATATTACGTCTCCTTGCCGAACTCCTCTTTTGGCGTTTATTATGTTAGATGATTCATGATGTTTTCAATGAGGTTTATATAACGTTGATCCATTCTGACATTTCTCAAGGATTTTTAGTGGTACCGCGAGACGAGACTTAAGGTTGGTCTCGTCTCGTCTCGTCTCGAAATCTCGAGTGACTTAGTCTCGGTCTCGAGTGCCAAAGTCTGGTCTCGTCTCGAGTGGTCTCGTCTGGTCTCGAGTTATACAGGGTGTCCGGAAAATAGCGTAAAAACTCTTTACTACGTGGTCAAGGACCCTTCAAGGAAGCCCAGAAAAATAATTTAAAAAATCTTGTGGCATTCTTAAGAAAGTTATTTGCATTTTAATATTTATTGAAATTTGCAACACTGAAAATATCCCGTTGACAACATATCAGAGAATTGAATTAAATACCTATGTAATAACCTGTAGAGTTCGAAGGTGAATTTTCACAATTACCTCTTCATATTACCAAGAATAATGCTGGAGCAGGTTTTTTCAATTATTTTTCTAGGGTTTCTCAAAGGGTCCCCTACTACGTGGAGAGCTTTCACGCTATTTTTCGGACACCCTGTATTTATGTTATTTATTTTCTCCTCTTTTATCATTTCTTTATAATCGATGTTTGATTATTCCAGGTTCTTAAATTTCTGCTTTCTTCAAAGTTTATTTTTATAAGAAAGTAAGAAACATTCAAGAGTCTGAAATTGTCTCTATTTTTTATTTCTTCATTTCTTCAGTGTCAAACTTTGTCTATTCCAGGCTCCTGAATGTTCCTTACTTTTTTAGAAAAATAAATTTAGAAAAAAACAGCAATTCAAGATCCTGGAATAGTCAAAAATCGATTCTAGAGAAATGAGAAATAAGAAGATATTCAAGAAATCTTTTGTAATCTCTTGAATTTTCCTCAGATTTCTCAGGCTTTTCTCATTTCTTCTATGCACTTTTTTAGGTAATAGTTGGTATTCCCCAAATTTTGCAAAGAATCATCCTTATGGGTAAATATTTTTGGTTTCTTTGAAGTTTCTCTAACTTTTCTGAACTTCTTCAATACTTCTTCGGACTTTTTTTACTTTCCTAGCGCTTTTTTAGGTGATGGTGAATTCTTCCCAGGCGGATTCTTCCTTGAGAACGAGAGAATAAAGAAAATTCAAGAAATTGCAAAAGATTTTTTTTATTTTTTCTCCTTATTTTTACGATGATAACCGATTTTTCCAAGTTCTTGAATTTCTGATTTCTTCAAAATTTATTTTTATATGAAAACAAGAAACATTTAAGCGACTGGAATTTCTCGTCTATATTTTTTATTTCTTCAGTGTCACTTTTTTACTATTCCAGGCTCTTCAATATTTCTTACTTTTTTATAAAAATAAATTTAGAAAAAAACAGGGATTCAAGAGCCTGGAATAGTCAAAAATCGATACTAAAGAAATGAGAAATAAAGAGAAGAAATTCAAGAGATTGCAAAAAATTTCTTGAATTTCTTTCTCAATTTTCTAAGTCTTTCTCTCATTTCCTCTATACACTTTCTTAGTGTGTAATTGTTATTTCCCAAATTTTTCAAATAATAATAATTTCCGTACTTTCTCGAACTTCCTTCGAAGTTTCCCTAACTTTTCTGGACTTCTTCAGTAGGTACTTTCTCAAACGGCCTTTACTTTCCCAAGTTTCCCAGTACTTTTTTAGGTGTTGGTAAATTCTTCCCAGGTGATTTTACCCTCGAGAATGAGAGAATAAGGAAAATTTCTGATTTCTCCAATGTTTTTATTTTTTAAAAATGAAAAACATTGAAGTTCCTGGAATAGTCAAAAATCGATTCTACAAAAATGATTAATCTGGAAAAGAAATTGAAGAAATCTTGAAGGGTAAACCTCCTTGGAATTATGGTGTACAAGCAAATGCGATTTTTTGGGATTCCGTGTGGTTCCAGTGGGATTCCAATGGGATTCCTTACTTTGCCTGATGATTTGATGTTTTTAATACCGTGGGATTTCAGTAGTATTGCGTCGGATTTTAGTAAGATTCTAGTAGGATATCGAGGGATTCCAGTAGTATTTAATGGGATTCCGTTAAAAGTGGGAAAACATCTTGGAATTATAGTGTACAAGCATGTGTGATTTCAGTGGAATTCTGTGGGATTTCGTGGATTTCCTGTGGGATTCCAATTGGATTCCAGTGGGATTTCAATGGGATTCCTTAGTTTGCTTGATAAGTCTATGTTTTTACTTTGTACCTATGTAGTGGCGGCTAAACTGAAAAACAAGACTTTTTTGTTCAGAGTCTTTACTTGCTAGCATTCAAAATAATTCCCAAAATACACAAGAAATTCCATGGAATGCCTAGAAGAATTCTATTGGATTTCAGTAGGATTTCGTCGGATTCCGTTAAAAGTGGAAACCATCTTGGAATTATACTGTGTACAAGCATGTGTGATTCCAGTGGAATTCTGTGGGATTTCGTGGATTTCCAATTGGATTCCAGGGTCTTTATTCTTGAAACAGGGGAGCAAAGTTCCCAGGAGAACGAGTGTCCCATCTTTGTTACTTATATTATCATTCGCATATCATTGAGAAAGACGGAACACTCGTTTTCTTGGGAATGTTGCTCCCCTGTTCCAAGAATAGGGACCCAGTGGGATTTCAATGGGATTCCTTAGTTTGCTTGATAAGTCTATGTTTTTACTTTGTACCTATGTAGTGGCGGCTGAACTGAAAAAACAAGACTTTTTTGTTCAGAGTCTTTGCTTGCTAGCATTCAAAATAATTCCAAAAATACACAAGAAATTCCATGGAATGCCTAGAAGAATTCTATTGGATTTCAGTAGGATTTCGTGGGATTCCGTTAAAAGTGGGATTCTCGTGTACGTACACATTTTCAAGCTGGTTTATAGATGCTTTTTAAGGTATTTAAGGTCGATTGAAAAAAAAAAGTGTGCAGTTCGCACCCAGTAGAAGTGAAACCTTCATCGAACTGCATGCATTACACACATACTAACATACACAGTGGCGTGATTGATTTCTTTAAGCGAAAACATACGAAATATTCATTTTGGAAGAAATCCATTTGAAGACACAGGACTGAAAATAAAAAACAAATCAAGACCCTGAAATTCTAAAATACAGGAATAATGAGAATTCAGGAACTTAGAAAAAAAAATTCAACAGTCAAAAAAAAAATTAAGAATTTAGAATAAAGAAGTAAGGAAAAATCAAGAGCCTGGAATAGAAAAAATTATAAAAATTCAAGAATTTGAATTGAAAGAGGTACCTACATTTTCTTGTTGATATTTTTCTATTATTTAATACTCATTTTATACTTTTCAATTTTTATCTATTCCAGGCGTTAATCTCTCTGAAATAATTCTGAGGT